GATGGATGGATGGATGGATGGATGGATGGATGGATGGATGGATGGATAATAGGTTTTCAACATGGCTGAAGACTGTTAACAACAGATGAACAACAACATGTTACACTTTGTTGGTATTTATTTAGGAAAACACCCCTGCCTATAAAAAGTTAAGTAAATGATTACATATTTCATTGGAAACAAGATGGTAATAAGCATCCAGTTGCTTCTAATCACATTCACTTGATGGACCACCTGCACGTGTCACCACCCCAATCAGTAAGGACCTTGAGAATGATCTTGGATCATTACTACATGCCATTCATCTCAGGCTGTTTATCTCATCTTTATTACAAAGACCAGATGAATTTCATCATGCCTCCATAGCTAATATGGTGCATATACATTATCAATTGGCAGATTTATAAAGTAAAAAAAAAAAGATTAAATGTAAATTTGGGGGAAATGCTGTCAACATTTAAAGGCCATACTGAACCAACTAAAGAATATAGATTAAAAACACAGAATAACGATGCTCAGAACTAATATGAGAGGACTAAATGTTCCTGACGTCTAAAATTCAGATAAATGATTACTTATTATTTTCCTGTTGCAATCATTAAGTTTCTTATACCATATCAGGTGAAGCTATTTTATAATCATCATGATTACTGTGTAAAGATGGAATTTGGTAAATGGAAACCCATTCCTTCTGTTTATTAAACTAAATTAAATGAAACTGTTTATTTAACTAACTGCATGGTGGCATTTGCACTTCCACTGGTGTCTGTGTGCCACAGGTGCTGTGTTGACTTGTGTTTTCAGTGTGGAGCTGGGGTGGCATATGGTGTGAGGGGAAACAGAAGTCAGTACAACACCAGATGTGAAGCTAGGGTGTGGACATAAAGGTAGGATCAGCCTTTAAGGTTCAATAACCTCATTATTGTCTGTGACATTGGACATCTATCATGTCTGTCCTCTTAATGACATCCTAATGTTTCTATAAACTAAAGTAAAGAGCTATGTGTTGTCATCATTGTATGTTTCTATACAATGACAAAATGTGTTCTCTGTGTTTAATTAATTTCATTGGGCAGCTACTGTATATAAGCACCCAGGGAGAAATTAGGGATTAGGTGTTTTGCTCAAGGACACAAGGAAATATGGACATGGAAGAGAGTTGAACCTGCAATTTTCTGGTCCCAAGTTGGCCGCCCTACCTCTACACCAACTTGGCCCCAGAACAGCAATTGGTGGAGATATGAACAAGAAAATGTGTTTAATAAAAAAAAAAAGAAGTTTTTTTCTTAAAGTAAAAAAGTTTTTTGTTAGTTTAATTTAGTATTTTTGTGCGCGCTAAACAATAAAGCTAAGAGTAGGATTTTGTCTAATTGCCCCACTTCACTGAACCAAAAAAATTGTATTTTGCTTGTTTTCTAATAAAATGTCATTTTATGTATTTCTTCAAACAAATATATTGACTAAATTTCTATTTTCCTTTAATTTATTAATACATTCTATATTTTGTTCATAACAAAGATATTTATTTAAACAAGACCAAAATAAGCTCTTTGTCCAAACTGACTTTTTTTCCGAAGATTTCAAATTGGAAAAAAAAATGGATTAAATCATAATTTTTCCTTTTGATATAATGCTTATTTCCAGAACATCTGCTGCCACTAACATGCTTCAGAAGGCAGGAAGAAATACCTGTATATTATGGAAGCTTAGGCCAAATGGACTTTATTGAATTTCCCAAATGAATACTATAACAGTCAAAAAATATGCAAACAATTAAACAGTCTGAATCATGCTGTAGGCTATTCATGATTAAAATTAGTTGTAAAAAGTTGGACCACTATCTGTAAGCCTGTTGCACTAGGAAATAAAAGTGTTGCTATGTTTAGGTAAATCCATCTGAGTTTTAATGTTTCTATAAAAACGTCATTCATTTGAATGTACGCCTGCAGTTTTGGAGGCAGTGGCACTACTGTTGTCTCACAACTGGATCTGAAACATATACTGATAATAATGACCCTGCATAGACATTTTTTTTTTGATACTATACAAGATGCAAATAAACAATTACATAAACTGAAGAAAAAAAACCCGCTGTGACAAACTAGCTAAGATCTGCAATTTTGTATTTGTTTTACTTTGATTTGACCCAGGTATCAGTATATTTTTTTATTAAAAATGATTCAAAATATTCCTTTCTCCAAAGTTCATGATCTAAAAGTCTAATGCATCTCATGTTCATCATAAATGTGCTATTAGAAATCATTTAGCAGTATGCAATAAAATAAAAAATAAGTTAGGATTTTTATCCACCTCAAGCTGAAATTAGAAAGATTTAGGCCTCTTTTCAATCTGTCTATTAAACAAGAATAAACACCCTGCAGCGTCTGTCTGAAATGGAGAAACAATCATCCCAGCTCTGGCCAAAGCTAACAGATTCTACTCATTAAAACCTCCAAGGCTCAATAAAAATCAGAATCACCTTTATTGACCAAGTTTGTGTGCACAAACAAGGATCTAGACTTCGGGTTCAGGCACTCCCAGCATCAGACATCAAGTCAAATATATATAAATTTAGAGGAAATAGAATAAATGATAAAAGGTAAACAGTAAATACATGTATGAGTATGTGTGACCAATTTTCATTCTTAAATTTCTTCTTCCTTATGTATACTTAAGAGAGAAAACGCAGGTTGTGCTAATGTGCTTATTTTGTTTCACAGCAGAGTAGCTGACTACTCAACTCTACGGTGTTAAACAGAAGTCGCTCTTATCTTTTCTTTGCTCTGCTCACACACACAAGAGATTTAGGTCATTTCCTCTGCAGCCGTTTTTGGACTTCATCAATGACACTGTTGGCGAAGACCTAATGGACAATTAATGAATGCGGGCACCATGCCAAATTACTCTGAACTGGCTAAATGGAAAAAGGACAAGATCTGTTTAATATAAGCTGTAGAGGCAGTTGTGTTTCACACATCATCACTTTTAAGGCTGTGATGTACAGATTAAGATATTTTAAACAGTTCAATACATAAAGTTGGTTGAAATGGGTAAAGGAGTCAACCCTGCACTTCATGTGGTGACATTTTTTTTCTACTTAAAATGTAAAGTGCAATGCTCTTCAGCAAAATTAGTTTTATCTAACCATTATATAACATATCAAAAAGCTAATTAAAAAGCTTACATTTAAATAAAATATACTACATAAAATCAATCAAAACCAAATCCTCCTTTTTGTTAAATTTTGTTCACTCCTTCAGTGTTCCTGGTCAATCACGATAAATCCGATTACAGATTCATGATAATACACGTTATGCTATGATGATTTTTAATTAACTTGTTTTATCAGGAGCAGCACAAATTTAGATCTTTTTTTTTTTTAGAGGTTGTAAACTTCACTGATTTGAGCTCAACTTACTTTTTTTTTTAAGTAGGAAAGACAGAATGGTTATTTAGAATACAGCAAACTTGTTTATCACACAATAGTTGTGTAGGACACTTCTTTTTAAACCATTTTGTTTAAAAAAAACGGCTCAGAAACGAATATTTTTGTGTTCTCGGTCAATAACTATTTATTTTTTTCGTAAAAAAAAAAAAACATGAAAAAATAAACTTCCAAAATTGCAACTGGGAACATATGTTTAATCTTACCATCCGAATTATGTAAAATAAATAGATAAATAAATAAATATATGGCCATTGAATGGTCAGGACTCTTTGCAGGACCCCCATCCTCTTTACTGGATCGGTTGTCTCATTGTTTGGATCGCATCTGTTTTTTCTTCTACTTCTGACTTTTTCTCCTCTTCAGCATATTTCATGTCACCACTGTCATGACTAAGGATATGATCTGGAGCCTAAATATCAGTATATTGTTAGATTATAAGCTGCCACAGAATCAATCTGGAGCAACGCCTTTAAACAACTTTATTTTCCCAGAGCTGCAAGAAAATTGTTAGATTTTTTTTGGAACCAATGCTGTGGTGGTGAGAATGTTAACAAAAGTTATTATTGAGATAAATATTGAGCTTATTGAGCATGCATCAGGATGTGTTTTTTCATTTCATTTTCATGGAGGCTAAGAAGAGAAAAAGGGGCTTGGGTGTGTGTGTGTGGGGGGGGGGGGGGGGGTATGTGTCCACAAAAAAACAAATGCATCTAAATATGTGAAAGAATTAATCCCATCTGCTAAGGTCAGCTTTCTTTATCTAATGCCTCACACATTGATTTCTAATGATCATTCATTTTAGACTGGAATAACAACAGGTGTAAAAAAATATATAACCCCATATTTTATGAAACTAATTTAGAAATGGTTGCCTCTGTTAAGATGACGTGGACAAACTTGATATATATCACAGGTTAAAAATACACAGTCTTCTGAGTGAAAACTTTAAAATTGTAAATTTTGACTGGAAGATAATAGGAAGGTTAGGGTTTTTTTATTATTATTTTAATTATTACAATTTTTAACTCACAAATACTCAGAACTGATTATTAATAAGGGGGAAAAAAAAAACGTTACCGTTGGGGCTTTCTTCATCTATGGCCACGATGGTAGCAGGAGGACCAGAGCGAGAAAGTTTACATTCTGAAAAGAAGATCAAAAGTATAAATTAAAACTATATACTTTTATGCATAAAACTTTAAATTTACATTAATATTTTTCCTTCATTTATATATATATATATATATATATATATATATATATATATATATATATATATATATATATATATATATATATATAGTAAAATAAGAAACTTCATTGTGAAGCTTCGGATTGACATTACTTAATAAACACTTTGTATTTATGATGAAAGTGATTTCAAAAGCTCCTGTGGTGTGATGAGTACACAAATGCTGCAAGAACTATGGCAATGAATGCATAAAGATAAATAAAGCATGAGCTTTGCAGATATACTCTATAGTTTATTAACCTCGTTCTTCTCTCTTCACTGAGGGGGAATAGATTGGGTAAGAAAAGAGCACATGAATTTTATAAGCGGGATGTAATGTAGTGTAAAACGAGGTGAGGTAAGGGAAACAAGAGCTGACAGTAAAATAGATTAAAGCCCATTCTTTTAAGAACAGACTTAATCCTCTGAAACCATCTCTGCATGGTCAGCAGAGATAAATAAAGTGGCACAGAAACTGAACACGTTTAACAGAAGAAGGAAACAAGAAGTCAGTCTTACCCTCATAGTGCCAATCTGCAGTTAAAGACAGCCACACCAAGTCAGGATGGAGAAGAGGGGGAAGACAGCAGTCAAGGAAGGACAGGAAGAAAAAGAAAATGGAAGAAAATATATTACTACAATCTTTCAAATCACAAAAGTAAAGTTGGAAAATAAAAATTAAAAAATGTGTTAAAGGGATAGTATCATTTGTTTAGAAGAAGTTCTTTAAAATTATATAAACAATATCTTACCTGTTGTAGATAGCTATTTGAACAACCTCAGATTGGAAAAATATCAACAAATTCAGATTTCATTGATGAAAGATTAATTATTCAGAGGGGAGCCATATTTAAATTGCTTCCATCTTAAAGAAAATCCAATCCCAAATTCTTGTTTTACACTGTCATTTTGCTGTGAATTCAGCATTAGAAGGTTATTCTGACAGAAATTATGTTCCTTCCAGATGTGCTACAGCTGTTTCTATTTGCACTTGTAAATAACCACAAAACCCTTTGTAAATAACTAAGAAATGCAAAATCAACAGCAATGTAAACAATTCTAACTTTAGGTTTGCATGAAGCTCTATAAAATATTTGAGATCATTGCTTTTTATTAAAATGACAAAAATTGACTTTAGCCTGAACACCACATAAACTAGTTATTAGTTCTTCAGTACAAACAGAAATACACAAATTCTTCCATCAGGGGTTGTTCAAAAGTGCTACTGTATCTACAACATTGATAGTTCATAACCCAACTGCAAATAATTTGAACTTATTACTTTAAAAGAGAAAAAAAAGTTGAAAGCTTGAGTTAAAAGTTTGAAAAAGTATTTTTTTAAAGGGTGTGAAGTGTTAGTGGTAAGCCAATGTGTCAAACTCCTTAAGCTACAAAAGGAATATCAAAGTTCATGCTCAATAATCCAGGTAAAAAATCCTGCAAAGTTAAGTCAAATGGACGGTTTACTTTTTTGTTTTGTTGTTGTTGAAGCATTTCACCTTTTATCCAAAGGACTTCATCAGTCTGAGGAGCCACAACAAACTCAGTCCCGTAAGTGGCATACTCACATAGTAGACCAACCAGTTTTATGGTGATAAGATGGTTTCCGGTGTCTGCCCTCTCCCCCGTCGACTCCACCGAGGCAGTCATAGCCAAAGTGGTTCATGCTCAATAATCCAGGTAAAAAAATCCAATGAAGTCAGGTCCTCTGGACGGTTTCTTTTTTTTTAAAATCATTTTGGCTTTAGCTGCCTCAGAAGAGTCGCCGGGGGAGAGGGCGGACTCCAGAACCCATCTTTTCATCAAAAAACTGGTTGGCCCACTATGTGAATAAGCCACTTATGGCACTGAATTTGTTGTGGCTCCTAGGACTGATGAGGTCCTTTGGATGAAAGATGAAACATTTCAACAAATAAAACAAAGAAATAAAAAAACAAAAAGAAAAAGAAACTGTACAGAAGACCTAACTTAACTTTTTTGGATTTTTTTTTTCCTACTTGGATTATTGAGCATGAACTTTGATGTTTTGAACCACTTTGGCTATGGCTGCCTCGGAGGAGTCCACTGGGGAGAGGGCAGACTCCGGAAACCATCTTATCACCATAAAACTGGTTGGTCCACTATGTGAGTAAGCCACGTATGGGACTGAGTTTGTTGTGGCTCCTCGGACTGATGAAGTCCTTTGGATGAAAGACGAAACGTTTCAAGAAAAAAAAGAAACTGTCAGAGGATCTGACTTAATTTTTTTGGACTACAAAGGGATAGTTTTGTTATATTTGAAGTCATATTTTCAGTAGGTAATACCTTATCAGGCAAGCATGGAAAAAAGGGCAAAAGTCTTCAACCAGGCTAGGCTAATAGCTAGCTAAACAATGTCCTTTTTTTTTTTACATTGTATTGCAAGCTTTGAAAACTTTTATTTTTTCAAAAATGACACACAGTTGTGAAAGAGAGCTGCTTTACCTGATAGTAAATTCTTACAATTTAACATGATGATGTTCGTTTGGTTTGTTGCCGTTTTCTCAACTAAACAACATCCGTGCCACTACACGAATGTTGGTCTCCTGAGGCTATTAAATGCATCACTCCACTAGGAATGAGTAAACATTTGAGCCAACCTGACATCCATATCAAGTGAACTAATACAGCATGTCAGCACCATTGACATTTACAGTAACGCTCAGCACTCATTCGTTTGTATAGTAACACCGACGTTAATTTAAGAAAACAAACTAAACAAATGTCAAGGTAATGCAAAATGTAGAGGTTTAATATTAGCTAATGTAGCATTCTTTCATGCAGAAACGTGTTTGGGAAAGAGTTGTTTTATTGACCTGAACGACTAAACAACACATATTCACCATTAGCCTAGCGTGGAGGAAGACTACTCTTTTTTTCAAACTGTGCTCTGCGACTGAGGTCTCAGTTGACAAAGGTACCAATGACTAATAACTATTTGACAAGAATACTACTTTATTAATGACAATACTATCAGTCCAAGAGCAACAATCCCCACTTACCACAGCCTAGAAATATCAGAAAAAAACATTAATCTTGGCTTGAAGCTTAAAATAATCCCATTCTCAGCAAAAAAAAAAAAGAGAGTACTGACACTCAAGTGTTCCCATTTCTTCTTTTGTCCTTGCGAGGATAAACGGAAACAAGCCTTATTACAAACTTATTCTACAGCTCTGGGTGATGGCTGTGAAAATCCCAAAGGAAGCCTGGAAGATGGATATATGATTACTGAGAAAATAGACTTTATGGAACAATGATCCCACTTTCTTTCCTTTTTAACGCCACCAGTCTCTCTCGTCCTCTCCATTGTAATACATTACTGTGGCACGGACCATTTCAACATTCATCTGTATTGTTTGTTTTTCACCAGTGGAAGCAGTATAAAATTAAAAAAAAAACTCTAGAAATTGATTTTTCTGTCCTGGAGCTCAGTATTAACCTATATTAGAGGCGAAAATGATTGATTTTGTGGTCAGTCATGCACAACAGAGACAAGGAATGTTTTCATTTTTTTCACAGATTTTAATCTGACCTTTTAAACCAAGCTAAAAGTTGTTAAAGTTTACAGTTTGCTCCATTGTCTGGCTGTGACATGATGCATTAATCATGCATGGTGATGCAAGACAATGCCACAGCTTTCCTGGAAGTTTTACTTCAACAGAACTCTTGTTTATGTCGGTGAGAAAGCCAAAGGGACATAATGTTGCCAACACCTTTGTGAAATTTTGCACAAAGCCCCCAAAGAGCCACTGTAAAAATAAAGTGTAAAATTTGAGGTCATACAAATCCATTCCCTTAGGTTGTTTAACCAGACACATAAATGTATAACTTCTTCCCTCAGTTTTTACCATGTGCACGGGTTTGCAAACATACCCACCTGAGAGCAGTATGTCACTGTTTGGCTTCAGTAACATTAAAAAGTGGGACTGATAATCTTTTCCAGATTAGAATTTAAAAAGAAATTAACAAACCTGTAAAATTATAAACATGACTGTCAGCTGATGATATGCTAAAAACTATTTTTTAATTGAAATGATTATAGCTTGGAGCTATATGAACATTAAGGAATGGTCAAGCTTAATTTAGCAATTGTTCTAAATGAAAAAAAAGTCATATCTTTGTAACAAACTGGTGAAATTACATTAAATGTAGACACATAGGTTTATCATGTATATAGTACTCCATACAACCTCGTGCATGTGCAATTGTCTTTATTCCAAATGTGTGCATTCTGCTTCTTTTTTATTATTTCATCTGTCTTTTTTCTGTATAATTAGAACATGCTACTGGATGCCTCAAATTTCCCCCTGGGGATTAATAATGAATCAACAAACAAACAAACAAACAAATGTAAGTAAGTCAGTCAGTCATTCTCCATCCATCCATCCATCCATCCATACATCCATACATCCAAACATACATACATACATTTATACATACATAACTAACTAACTATAATATGAATGTCTGACTCAGTCATAAGTAATGGGATTTGGGTGAAAGCAGACAATTCTTCTGATAGGACAGCCAGTGCAATTTGTAGATGGTCCCTAAAACCTTGTCTAAGTGCCGGTGTTGTGTTTATATTTCCTCATCTAAATGGAAACCAAAACAAAGCACAACACCTTCTGAACATAGACACCCACTGTATTGAGAATCCATGTGTGTGGTTTTCTAAAATAAGGGGACATACTTCTACAACCTCAAACTTATTTATTTTTAAGCCATGATCCCTGACGGGGTTTTGTAGTTTTCTAAAGGGTGCATCTCAGGTTAGCAACCCAGAAAGAGGGATAAGCCATGGAACAATAGTCACTAGTTACATCACACTCCACCAGCTGGCCTGTGTGTATGGGCACAGCAGATGACAGATGTGTATCCAGTGCTTTACTGCCTTTTTATCCTTCAGTGTAAACTGATGCCCCTCATATATTACTAAACAGCCATGTGTTCTCTACGGGGCATCTCTTTCATTCTTTCGTTCCCCTCAGTTTCTTTCCCATCTTGTCTCTTCTCATCTGCTTCCCTCTTTCTACCTGTCAGCCCGATTCCCCCCTCAAATAATGAAAGTTAAATAGGATGAAACTGGGTCATAACATCAAGTGGCAGATGAACATGGAGACATTTCAATTTGAATTAAACCTTTGATGTGTGCTAAACAGGTAGTGCTAATTTAAAAATCAAGTTAGCCGTGGATGTAAGTTTTTACCAGCTCTTGTACATTTTTTTCATCATTTATATTTTGAATTCATTTTGTTAGCAATGAAACCAGTCGTTACGGTGGTTCTGTTTCTTTCGGCATTTGACAGCGAGCAATATAAGATGAAGGGTTAACAGCACTGAAATGCTAATTTTTACAGATCCGGGCATATCCCCTCGGTTAATAAATGAGCTCCTACAGTTAGTGCAGACACTTGTGCCCTTTAAGTCTCTTAAATGTGCTTGTACGTTTCATATTTTAACAGTGTATCTTTCCAGTTGTTTTTCTTCAAAAGGTTATTGATAAAATTACAGGT